CTGCCCCCCCCCCTCCCCCGCCTCCCCGCTCCGACAGGGTGTCATCAGAAGACGGAGAATATACGACGGATGATGACTCCGACGAGGACGAGCGTGGGGGGGCGGCAGGGGAGGCGGCAACCAGCACCACAGCGGGTGGTGGAATGCACAGCGGAGACCCTCCGACCCGCAAGAAGACCTCCGCGCGTCCGCGGCGTTGGCAGCCAGAGGAGGACAAGAAGCTCACGCTTGCCGTCAAGGAGTCCGGGGAGAAGGACTGGAAGTCCATCGCCCTCAAAGTGGGCTCGCGTAACCACGTGCAGTGCCTCCAGCGGTGGAAGAAGGTGAACTCTTGGCACATGATGCACCAGCGGCAGCAGCAGCGGGCCGTTTTTTCCTTACCCTGCAGACGACTCGCTCACATTCACCTTGTTTGTACAACTTCGCGTATAATCGATTTTTTATCCGCGATTTTGTTCGTTATTTGTTGGGTCGTTCGTTTGCCGCCGTAACACGAGTCCGTGGACGTTAAGTAACTACCAGCACCAGCTCTTTTCCAATTCGGCGTTCAGGGGATCGGGTCGTTGGTGGCAGATGGTTGGGCCATGGGGGGCGATAGAGTCCTATAATCGTGGTAGTACAGCTCAGCTGATGTCGTTTGTTTGTGATCTCCGTTTCATACTTGCAGAAGACATGCATCATGCATCTGTTGGCACTGTCTGTCTTTCGGTGTTTCGGGATGTGTGCATTCTATCCGCAGCGGGTGTATTGCCGTTGTGGACATGTGCACATGTATGCGCTCCCAACGCGCCGCCTTTGAGTAAGGTCCGGCCGAAGCACCAGATTTGGGTTTTTGGTGACGTGGTGACCGCGGTGCGCCCCAAGCTTTCGGCCCTGCAAAGGACGAGGCATTATTTACAAATTATGTCGCGGGAGTGTTTGTCGTTGTGGTTCCGCCACCCGCCCGATAAGCTTCAACATGAACTTGGTTGCCCTTGTTTTTCTACACTGCTGACAACGGTCCACAAACATGCCGCTTCATCGGAAAGAGAGTTCTCCTGGTGACCCTGTCACTGTTTCTTTGTTCACGCTTGAGGGTTTCGATGTACGTTATTTTCTTCTCGGCCTTTGTATTCAGTGTGGTACAGCGCGCGTCGAAAATTATACGGCGAGGTCGGTATGCACTGCTCTACCATTTTACGGACTGAAGGGACCTGATTCCATCGCTTGCCGCCCTGCCTACACACACACATGCTACCGAGAACCCCGAGACTGATGGTGTCAAGCTCTCGGCAGTGCTTTGTCGTTTTGGTGAAACAGCCTTTTTTGAGCATCGCATGGACGTACACATTCGGTGGTGATGTTGTTGACGTCTCTAGCGGTGGCCTTTTTTTTTTTCTTCAGGTGCTGCGTCCTGGTCTTGTGAAAGGCCAGTGGGACGCGGAGGAAGACGCGGCCCTCATGAAGCTCGCGACAGCGCCCTTTAAGAATTGGGGCGTTCTCTCCCAGAGCATGTCTGGTGAGCTCGAGAGTTTTGTTGACCTCGCGGCGCTTGGTACTACACCCTAAGACCACATGGTAGATATCAGTTTGATGTTTTCTGCTGGGCTTCATGCTTCTGGCACAGACTTGAGTGCAGCAGCCCTGTATTCTAACCGTGTTGGGGGGTGATTTCCATATTCCATTTGCCGGCCATTGTTTTGGACGCGAGTGTCAATCTCTAATGGTGGAGAAAGAAGTGACGTTTTCATCCACGAGATGTACCATAAACGTGGATGTATGTTTAGCAGTATGCACGGAAAAGTGATCGGCGATCATGTTTTCTGTATGTGTGTGTCTTCTGGGATATGGGTTGTATGCAGGTTCCCGCTGCGGCTCAAGTTTCTTTGTGTGGTGTGGGGTGTGGAGAAAAACACTGAGAGTGGACCTGTCTTGAGAAAGGTAACATGTCGTGCGAGAGAGGGTAGCTGGTCTGCTGAATTGCTCGGGGGTTCAGCGTGTCTGCTGGCTCTATTCCAGCACCGAAGGTAGATGTCTGACAGCTGCTTCCAACAACGTGAAAGACTCTAGAGTCGAACAGCCGCGTGGAAACGAAAGGGTAAAGAACTACTGAACAGCCTCTACCGCTGACGACCAGTCAACACAAACGTATAGCTGTTCTTACATCTGGCTTGTTTCAGTCGAGGTTTGTCAGACAGAGCGCGGACTTGCCTGCCAAGGGCGAAACAAGTGCCCCCTTCTTTTTGAAGGGTACCAGATGTGACGAGAGAGTCAGGGCTAGCCAGGTTGGACGCGTAACGGCAACGAAACACGAGACAAGCCGAGGCGACCCGTGTGGGTGTAAGGGACCTTCCCCTTCCTCCCCTACATCTTGAGGCCGAACCCTGCCACAATTGCTCGCTCCGTGCTCGCGCTTCGCCAACCCCGCCGCTTTTTTTGATGCTCCCCGCCGCTCTCGATTCTGTTCGTGCGTCCACGCTCGTGGTGGGGACACTAAAACATGGTGACGTCACGACCCGAAAAACAGGGAGAACCAGCAAACAGTGCCGAGAACGCTGGTGCCACCACCTGGACCCCAGCATCAACAAAGGCGCTTACACGGAGGAGGAGGACAAAATCATCATCGAGACCCAGGCTAAGCTCGGCAACCGGTGGAGCCAGATCGCCGCTCGCCTCCCGGGCCGCACAGAGAACAGCATCAAGATCCGATGCAAGGCTCTCCAGCGCAAGGTATTGTCCGGCTCTCCGTCTAGCGGCGGCAGGTCGGGGTCGACCTCCTCCCCCGCAGGGCGCGCCCCCAAGAAGTCTACGGGGACGTCTACGACCGCGCGGCAGAGTCGGGAATTGTCTTCGTCCAGCTCCTTGTCGGCGTCGGAGTCGTGTTCTTCCTTCGAGTCGGGGCTGGACACCATGGCCGAGCAGCCGCCGTTGGCGCCGTTGGCGGTGCCCCCCCGGGCCCCGCTCCTCCCCGAGCAGCACCCACCGGTTCACTTCTCCCGGGGTATGCACTTCAAGCTTGGCGGCGGCGGCGACGGCGTGCCGCTCCCACCGGCCGGTGCACCGCCGTGCCACGGCAACTCCGTATTCTCGGGGCCGGGACCCGCGGCTCCCGCTCCGGGCTACGCGATGCCACGGGCCGGGTTAGAGCAGGGTTGGTTCGAACCGAAACAGGACGCCGCTCATCAGTTCCTGCTGCTGCAGCAGCAGCAGCAGCAGCAGCAGCCCCTTGGCAGCGGTTCCGCTAAGGTGGAGGGTGGGCTTTGCGCGCTCGCCCTAGACCGACAGCACCACCTGCTGCAGCAGCAGAAATACGTTCCCCAACCAGAGCAGTTGGTCGACGTTATTCCCGCCTCGCAACCGTTTCCGAGCGCCATCAACATCGACGGCGGTGGCGGCGGCGGCCGCGGCGGCGGCGGCGGGATGTTCGCCAACAGCAGCGACCTGTCCCCCGCCGTAGAAGGGTTCCTGGTTCAGCCCCAGTACCAGCATGCCCAGAAGCAGACCCCCTTAATGCACGAGTACATCCCGAGCGCGTTTCCACAAGAGGGGGAGCAGCAGCAGCATCAGCAGGAGGGAGGAGTAGGGCTGCCGCTCGACGGAGAGCTCATGTCTCACGCGGTGGCGGCGGTGGCCGCGGCGGAGGACCGTTATGCCGGCGGCGTGGGGGACGGTGGCGGAGCCTACGGGATTTGTCTGCCCGAGGATCTGGCCTGTGACGGCGGTGGCCAGCGCGGCAACGGGGTCGGCCAGGGGGGCGACATCAAGCCCATCGGAGGAGCCATCGGCGGAGATGAAGTTGTCAACGAGAACGGTCCCATCAAAGAGTGCTGCAGCTTCCTCGACCTGGCCAGCGCGGCGTCGGCGGATGACAATATTATCGGAGACGTGGACTCGTGGCGGCCGGTTTGAATATGACGAGCGGCTATGTAACTTTTAGAGGGCTTGTAAGGAGCGGTGGCGGCGGTGGCGGCGGCGGTGGCGGTAGCAGCACGCCTCGGTTGGCGCTGCATGTTCCTTTCTATGTCATCACATTCGGGCGTGGCCTCGGCTTGCCTGCTTGTGGGTTTCGAGATAGGTTTTCGGCTCTCTTGCCTTGTCGGACTGCTTTCACCGACAACCTCAAGAAGTCAATGCTGGCCGACCGTTAGCTACCTCATGCTCGGCGCGAGCTAGCGTTTATGGTGCGTTTTGTTTGTTTGTCTTGTCATGTTTTCCGACAAGGGTCGAGGGTGCATGTGGCGCTGCTGCCTTAGCGCAGGTACGCTTTTTACTGGGAGACAAACCCCGTGTACTTCGTCGCAGCAGAGTAAACCCGGTATTTGTATCTTACCCCAACACATGGAACGAGATAAGCAAGATTACGCTGAAGAGCCGGCAGAAGCAGTTGCAGGTGTGAGAGACGGGCGTGGTTTGTGTTGCGGGTGTGCTTAGTCGGGGGTGGGGATCGAAGGGGGGGTGGGGCTGAATGTGTGGGATGGCAACGGTACCGGATCGCTCGCAGAGTGCGTGTCTTGCTGAGCAAGCGCCCTGGGTAACTGAGCTCCGATCGGGGAGACGAAGGCGAGTTTGATCGGACTTCGGACGATTCTTACCCGGGCGTTTTGTGCTGAGGAGGGGGGGACGGGGGACGGGGGGCGGGGGGCGGCGGGGGGTCGTCGCAAGGAGTTCGTGCTCTTGTTTTTTACCCTTCTTTTCGTCTGTTGTCGTTTCTGTGTCCGAATAGTGGAAGGTTAAGTGTTGGCTATGTTCCGAGTGTTTGTACGACGATGGTAGGCGTGATGCTTTCCCTTCGCACAGCAGCAGCAGTGGCGCTTGCGAAGGACCCCTCGCAGTTTTTGTTGGGAGGGGACAGGGAAAGGGTGTAAGAGGATGATGAGCTGGCGGCCGGAGTTATTCAATACTCGTTGGCTTTCCATTTTTCAGCAGGTAGACTTGTGTGGTGGCGGTACCACTTTTCTTCTTCGACCGTTGCTCTGGATCGTGAGAACGGGGTCATCAGGGGGGTGGTGTTGAGCACAAGGGACCACACTTGCACGCCCGCACGTCTAGGTGCGCGTTTTGTGGGGCCGTCTCGTGTGCGCTTGGGCACCGCGATGGTAGTAGTATGTAGCTTTTGGGGTGCGCGTACTCACCTTTTTTTTCTCGAAAGCTCTTTTTCAGCACACACAACTATTCTTCTGCGGTTGTGTATATATTTTCGGGAGATCCTGCGTGCACCTACAGGGAAAGCCAGGTGGTAGCAGCTTCAGAACGTCGGTCGCGTCACTGTTCGGAAGCTAGCTACCTGTCGGCTGTTTACGGCAGTGTCAATTTTTTTTGTGGCTTGTACATGTTGCTGCTGCCGCCGCTGCTGTTGCACGGGAGCAGGTGTAGGTATTTTTGTGGGTGTGGGTGCAGTGTATGTTTTAAGGAGCGGCCCAAAATCTCTTGTTTGTCCTTGGTTTTGTGTTAGAGGGGGCCTCTTTGCTGCCGCTGCGGCAGGAAAAGTGGTTCTCCCAAGCAGGAGGGAAAAGCCTTATGCCACGCTGTTCCGCCGGCCCTTTTGTTATTTTTTCCTCTGCCGCACCTACAGGGAAGAGAGTTGTATACGTCCAGTCTTGAGCACCCGTTTCGAATTCGTTTCTTTCTTATTTTTTCCGTATACTTACAATGGTTTCAGCTTCACTGAGCTGTTGGAGTTGTGGAATTGCTCCAGCCGCTGCGACCTCGTTTGGCTGCATGCGCTTTGTTCCCCCCTTATAAATGCAAAGCCACATTAGTGCAAGTGCCTATACACCCCATATCTGGTGAGTTGTGTGTGGCGTTGACCGATGATATGGATTTTCGAGTTTCCTGATATGGGTGAAAGATGCGCGTATGAAGAGTAAGGTAGGAACAGGTTTCGATGGGTTGATTGCTTCGAAGTATTTGAAGTAGGACTACAAACGGGGTGGGATTGACCTGTTTCACCTGTTCATAACAATACTCACGGTACATTCGTAGATCTGTTTTTGGTGCGTGTGGGGGGGCCGGAAGGAGGGCGGGGGTTCATAATACATATGCAGTGTGAACGTGATTAATCTAAAGCGCCATGCTCACGTCCACACTTTGCATTCACGTACACTGGATCCACACACGTACAGATCGCGCCCGCACGTAAGAACCCCTAGTTTCGGCCGAGGCTGGGTTCTTATTTTGCTGATCATCCTCTTGTGGGCTACAAATGGCAGTTATGTATGTGTCAGTTTGGACTTCTTAACCGAGCTCACAAATGGTGCTCAAGTTCTTAGCTTCTGTTTTTTTGCGAGTGTCAATTTCTTAACTGCTAAGTTCTTATGTGCGGGCGCTATCTGTATATGAAGTAGAGTAGGAGGTATAATAGAATCAGGTATAAATAACAAGGAGGGGTGCATCAACCTTTTTCCGTAGATTCTAGTTTACGCACCAGGTTCACTGTGCGTGGTGCATTCCAAGTGCACCGGGGCGTGTAAAACCTCGTCTAACACGCCTTGATTGAGTGGTTGGTGAGCGTAAGACAATATGTACAACGTTTGTGTGCGCGTACAAAGCATCCATGTCGCGACTGCTGCTCGCTGGTGTGCATTAGTATGCTATTCGCATTCGACTTGTTGGTGTTTTGTGACGTCGTGCGTATTGTTGATTGTTGATTGTTTGATGTCTTTCTTAGCGGCGTCCTCCTTTCGTTGATGTTGTGCCGCAGTCGAGCGCGGCACCTAGAATGATGTACACTTGATTTCTTCTTTCCTTTACGCTTGATTGTTTTTCGTTTGGCGAGAGAAAAAAAAGATCAGGAATAGCTAATTTTTCATTCGATGGGCTGTGTTGTTTTTTTCAATGTTGTAAGAAAAGCACGTGTAGTGTGTTATCCCTTTGTTGCGCAGTAACAAGTAAATGAGAAATAAAGTTAAGAAACGTGCATGGTACTGCAGTTGTTTTCTTGTTGTCTGCCATTTTTTCCGGACGTCGGTCCTTACTAAACCATTTCCGTACAACAACGCACCAGTCGGGGTCACACAGGAGGACGGCCACAGAGCTACAAAAGTGTAGTCACACGAGGACCAAACCAAGGCCAGAGCTATACAGTACCACGCCGGGAAAATGTCGACAGAAAAAGAAGGCATGCCATTGATTGGTGAACAGTCACCGCCACCCTTTCCAGCGAAAAAAACACCGGAAACGTCACCAACCAACATTTTTTGCTATATATCGCGTCAAACAAACTGCATGGAATACACGCCAGAGACAAGGTGTTGGGATTTGTATGCAAGAACTGACTCTATTCTACTGCATGGGTTTTGTGCAGTATTGTGAAGGCGTGTCTCCAAGTCTGTAACCGTCAGGTGAAGACAGCTTGGGCGCCTGTGTTTTGGATCTAATGATCACTCTGTGTTGTATCTACCCAAACTGCGCCACCACTGCCAACTACACAACAAACAGCAACTACAATTCTGTTGTCAGGTCATGAGCCTAGCGTTTGGTAGGTAATTCACATCGAGTCACACCCCAGCAGCAGCATGGCGTCCGCCACGAACTACCTGAAACAAGGATACGTCCCGTTTAGCGGGAAGCCGGAAGATTTCCACGGCTGGAGTGGCCTGTTCTACTCCATCATGGATGAGCAAGGATTAGGCGACATCATGGCTGGGACGGAGACCGCCCCGGCATCGGCGGCCAGCAGCGCGGATTCGGATCGTGCTGCGTTCGACAGGACGACGCTGGAATTCAAACGTAAGAACGGCAAACTGTACACACGGTTAAACTTTGCTACGTCCGACTGCGCCGATGGATTCTCGAGCACTGCTTCCCAAGTCGTTCGAGCCTTCGGCCCCGCTCGCGTTGGTGAGCATGGGGACGGACGTGCGGCATACGTTGCCCTAGAAGCGAAGTACCGCCAGAAGGGCACCTATCGGATGCATGAACTGCAGCGAGAGTTAGGATCACTTGCGGTCACTGCCGAGGACGATTACGACCCGGCGCGTGCAATCCAAGACTTGCGTCGTATCAGTTCCGAACTCGAGTCACTTGGAGACAAGGTCGTACCAGCCCGCCAGACGCATATCTTGTTGAACGCGCTTCCTGACCAGCACTACGCCCAACTTAAGGCCGCGCTGGTGTGCGGACAAGCCGATGGCTCGGAGTTGGATCTTGACTTCGAAAATGTCGCGCACCGAGCGACCGCGTACCATACACTGCAGATCAGGGGGAAGGTTTCTGCCCACGGCCGTGCCCACAACACGGTCGTGCACGGGGGTGCACGTAGTTTCCGTAAGCAAGGCGGACGTGGCGGACGCGGCGGACGCAACCGCCAAGGCAATGGCAGCCAACCGACCGGAGACAACGGCAGCAGCGGCTCCTCCGCCGGAAATTCCAGAGGCGATAGCCCTGGAGGCGCGCAAGATGTGCGCGGGCGAGGCCGCGGCAACAAGTCCAATAAAGGCGGAAACAAAAGTCACCAAAAGGGCCGAGACCGTCAGGGACGCTGCAAGTACTGCCACAACTCTACAGAGCACGGATGGGACGGCTGCCCCCTTCGCCTGGAGAACGTGCGAGAGGATAACGCCCAACAGGCGAATGCCGCCGCGCCGGAACCGTCCACGCAGGCATGGTTCACCCGAGTCGAGGAATCCAGCGGTGAGCCGGAGGACTTTTCCATCTCGTTTGGAGAACCGCAGGCACTGGAGATGCCTGCCGCGGCGCTGCCGGAGAAGCGCGCCGCCGTGGGCGTGCAGGAAGGTCTTGTCATCTACGATCCGCAGGCACTGGAAATGCCTGCCGCGGCGCTGCCGGAGGAGCGCGCTGCTGCTGAGGAGGAGGTGCCGGAGGCGCCTGTTGCGGCGCTGCCAGAGGAGTGCGCTGCTGATGATGCGCAGGTGCTGGATGCGCCTGCTGTGGCGCTGCCCGATGAGCGCGCTGCTGCTGAGAAGCAGGTGGCGGAGGCGCCTGCCGCGGCGCTGCCAGAGGAGCGCGCTGCCGACGATGAGCAAGTGCTGGATACCCCTGCTGTGCCGCTGCCCGAGGAGCGTGCTGCTGATGCTGCTAGTGACGTTCAGGTGCAGAACCCGCTTGCTGATGCAACAGATATAGTTGCCTACACCAGTGTGTACCAGGTTAAGGACGAGTCCGCCAGGAGCACCATTATGTTCGTAGACACAGCAGCGTCTAGCCACATGGTTAGCGCGGATTCCTACGCATCTCGCCACGTGACCGAGAAGTCGGACTGCAACGTGAGGATCAAAGGTTCGTGTGGAACGTCGAGCGCGGCTCAGAAAGGTATCCTGCGTTTCGGCATCTCAAACGACCGGAACCAACTCGTCCCGGTGGAGCTACAAGTACTACTGGTTGACAACCTAGGAGCGAACATCCTCTCGGTCGGAGCCCTGAAGGAAAGGGGGGTGATGTGCGATCTTCTGTCTACTCCTCCAGCACTCCGTAGCAGCGATCAGGCCTTCCCCATCTCCACGGAGATTTCGCGGATGTACAGCGTGAACATTGTCCTCGACGACATGAGGATGGACGGGACCGCGATGCTGCTCAAGACGAAGGTGAATGCACACATGTGGCACCGGAGGATGGGCCACTGTAATCCGCGCGCCCTCCAGCAGCTGGCGAGGAAGGAGCATTCTGGGGTTAAATTTGACCAAAACATCGAGTCTGGCGACTGCGAGGTATGTGCTGTCGGCAACAGCAAGAAGTCTAGTCACCCACCGGCTAACCGACCTCGCGCCGGCACTCGTCTTGCGCTCTTGCACGTAGACACCTGGTCGCACTCCGTAAAATCTCTCGGTGGACACAAGGGTGCGGTGATGTTCACGTGTGACAATACCCGCATGAGGTTTGGTTTTCCCATCAAGAGCAAAGATGCAGCTGCTGAGGCGCTGGAAACTGTTGTCAAGGAGGAAGCCGACCCGGAAGGACTGTGTATCACCACGCTACACTGCGACGGAGGGGGCGAGTTCAAGGGAAGGTTCGCGGCGCTGGCAGCATCACTTGGAATCAAAATCGAGACCAACGCCCCGTACATGCCTCAAGGCAACGCCGTCGCCGAGCGTGGCTTTGGCACGGTCGCAGCCATAACGCGGCGCCTTCTTCTTGGGGCACCTCATCTACCGGAGAGTCTGTGGGCCGAAGCGTTCCAATACGCGATCTATATACTGAATCGCACGCCTACGGACGTCTTGGGCGGCAAGGCACCACTTGAGGTATGGGAGAACAAACCGCTTGGCAGCTTGCACCACATCCGCGAATTCGGTTCGGTATGCTTTAAGCACGTGGAAGCGGGGGACAGGCCCAACAAACTGGCTGCCAGGGCTGAGAAGATGTTTCTGGTCGGTGTCAACCCTAAAAGCCGGTCGTGGAGGCTATGGTCCCCTCGTGACAAGTTTAAGATCACCAACTCCGCCGAAGTTTCTATTCGCGAGAAAGCCCCGCGCGACGTGGTTCCCCCCAAGGCAGGGCATGATCCGCTGCCAGAGACTCCAATGATTTACCATCCCGGTCCGGAAGAGTCTGATGACGACGTCGACAGTGTGGTGGAGCCACAAGACGAGCAGAAGGATAACGAGCCGGAGCCCACGCCTCAGGCGCAAGAGCCGGGCCCCCGTCGCAGCACCAGGAACCCCAAGCCGACTGAACGTCTGAACCTGTTTACCTTTGCCACGGAGGAGGAGGCCTTCGAGCAAGTGGAACGCTCCCTGCTCACCGGAAGCTCGCTTGGCAACAACGGGACTGGCAACCCTGGCGAAGTGGGCTACAGGGCTCCCGACCCTTCGAGCTACGACGAAGCGATCCGTGGGCAGGATGCTCTAGACTGGCAAGAGTCCATGCGGAACGAAAACCAGTCGCTTGTCGACCTTGATGTGTACGACTGGGTCGAGCCGCCGACGAGTGCCCAGGACCAGCCGATCCCGTCAAGGTACCTTTATAAGCGGAAGTACAAGAATGGCGAGCTTGCTCGACTGAAGAGCCGCGTTGTGGTCCAAGGCTTTCACCAAGCAGACACGGGCGAGGATAAAGCGGCGCCTGTGGCGTCCATGGAATCCGTCCACCTGCTGATTGCTATCGCAGCCAAGAATGGTTTTGGCCTGAAGCAAGCCGATATCAAGACGGCATTCCTCCACGCGCGGGTTCCTGCAAATGCGAAACCGATCTACGTCATCCCTCCGAAAGGGTTCGAGTGCTCTCCGGAACAACAGGGAAAAGTGTGGCGACTCAAGGCGTGGCTCTACGGGCTGCGCCTCTCTCCGAAGGGCTGGAACGGCACCTTCCACGACTTCCTGCTGGAGATCGGGTTCGTTCAGAGTACGGCGGACCCCTGTCTCTACATCCTTAACGCGGGAGGGGTCCTCCTTCTCGTGTACGTCGACGACATTCTTTTGTCGGGAAGCGACGAAGCGCAGGTGATGCGGGTCGTCGAGCAGCTGAAGGAGCGGTTCGACACAGTGTTCCTGGGAGATGCACAGTTCCTGCTCGGTATGGCACTTGAGAGGAACGTCGACGCCGGAACGATCTTCCTGTCGCAGGAGATGTACGCGAAGGCCGTACTTGACAAGTTCGGAATGGCCGACGCGCACTCTACGAAGACGCCTGCGGAGGCTGGGCCTATCAGCACCGTGGAGGAGAAGGTTTTGTCTCCAGAGGACACGGTGTACTTCCGGTCCGCCACGGGCAGTCTCCTGTATCTCAGCAGGGGTTCGAGGCCGGATATTACCCACTCGGTGATGGTGCTTACGAAGAGCATGGCGAAACCGGGTCCCAAGGCGATGGCAAAGCTGAAGCGGGTTCTCAGGTATCTAAAAGGGACAACCACTATCGGGATCACATACACCGAAGACGCCGACGGCGGAGACAAGCTAACGGCGTACGCGGATTCTGACTTTGCCGGTGACCAAGACAAGGGCTACTCCACAACCGGTGTCGTTCTCTATCTCGCAGGTGGCCCAGTGATCTGGATAGCCAAGAATCAAACGGTGCTGGCCATCTCCACGTTCGAGGCAGAAGTCGTCGCGCTGTCCAAGGCGTGCCTCATGGTTATACATTTTCGAAATTTGCTAGAGTCGTTGAAGATGAAGCAGAAGCAAGCAACAGTATTGTACGAGGACAACGCGGGTGCCGTAGCGTTCGCAAAGGGTAGCAAAATCACGCCCCGCACGAAGCACATCGACGTGAAGTTCCACCACGTCCGGCACCTAGAGGACCAAAACGTGGTAGATGTAACTTACATCGACACCAACAGGCAGAGGGCAGACATATTGACCAAAAGTTCGGGAGCTGTGAAGTTCCTGCAGAACCGCCTTATTTTGCTTGGAGTGTGAGTACCTCCCCTTACCGAAATCAGACCATATGTCTTAAAAGGGTTGGACGGTACATGGAATTCGCTGCCCAGAAAACTCTGGCAGTTAGTGATGAGTATTCAATTTGAATTGTTCGAGAGCATGCATTCATGTTGATAGCATTTGTCGAGAGGACACTGGTATTTGTTTCGAGAGGACACTGAGAGAAAGAATTTTGTGTCTTATGTATCAGAGCTAGTCATGACGTAGTTCTTGAGAGGACATGTTGGGATTTGTATGCAAGAACTGACTCTATTCTACTGCATGGGTTTTGTGCAGTATTGTGAAGGCGTGTCTCCAAGTCTGTAACCGTCAGGTGAAGACAGCTTGGGCGCCTGTGTTTTGGATCTAATGATCACTCTGTGTTGTATCTACCCAAACTGCGCCACCACTGCCAACTACACAACAAACAGCAACTACAATTCTGTTGTCACAAGGGATAGCAAACCACCAGACATTATTGCCAAAAATGAAGGAAATAAGAGAAGTGGACTAAACGGGAAACAACCGCGATGGCAAAGGACGCGGCATCGAATCACACAACAACCAGCAACCCGAAAGGACTTGTTATGTTTCCGTGTGGTGTTAAGGAGGACCCGATTCGCAAGGTACCCGTCGATTGACTTTTACCTGAATCGGTACACCTTCGCATATGGCGTCAGGTGGATACTGGTTCGAATCTCCTTGGGTGCACACTTCTTCTCCTGACTTGGATGTTTTCCCATGGACACAATGTGTGTCAGTCCTGAGAACACCTCTTGGAGTCGATCCTAGAAAGAACCTTGTGACACGTCCATCGGATCACCCATCCTGGCCACAACAAGAGGTTCCCAGTTGAGGGTAAATTCTGTGGGTGGAGAGTGTTGAGGAGGACCCGATTCGCAAGGTCCCCGTCGATTGACTTTTACCTGAATCGGTACACCTTCGCAGTGGGACGTGAGGTGGCGACATCTCACGAAAAATTATCCCGTTCTAGACTCCCACGATTTGGTTTCATTGCCTCCTATGCAAATATTCCCACACCCGCCTGCCTCCGGAGTGATCAAAAACAAGTAATGCGAAAGAAAATAAAGCAAGATAATGTGGATGACCAGTGTTGTTGTTGTTGTTGTTGTTGTTGTTGTTGTTGTTGTTTGTTGTTGTCTTCACATTAAAAACCGTTCCGAGCTCTCTCTACTCAGTACCTTCGTATGTCCGTACTGATACGACGCTCGACGCGGTCGATTCCCGTGGTCGCAGGCTAACTTACCCTAAAAAGGTACACTCAAATAAAATGGCCCCGAGCGGTCCGCAAATGTTGTTGTTGTTGTTGTTGTTGTTGTTGTTGTTGTTGTTGTCTTCACATTAAAAACCGTTCCGATCTCTCTCTACCCAGTACCTTCGTATCTTCGTACTGATACAACACTCGACGCGGTCGATTCCCGTGGTCGCAGGCTAACTTACCCTCAAAAGGTACACTCAAATATAATGGCCCCGAGGGGTCCGCAAGTCAATAGAAATCAACGACAGATATTCTGGAGTCCTCCACTCCTTCTGCGCGCTATGCGAGGTAACAACTGAGACCAGAGGAGTCACCATCACGGGCCGGAGAGAAAGAGGTACACCCCATTGCTTCAATCTTCGTACTTCACAACGCAAGCAAAGACAAGGCCATCTGGTACAGAAAAAGAGAAGAAAATAAAAGGAAACAGTAAAAATGGAAAGAGAAAATGTAGAAGTGCTGTGTAACCATTTTTGTTGCACATACAAAAGTAGGACCAAGAAACGATCCGAACGGAGGATCTTACTGATGGTTGATCAGCAGGAGACACGACTATGGATGCGTCCCTCTTGGCGCCACCTGTGGAGCTGGGCAATCCGAGACCCTCGGGCTTGGTCTCCCTCGCTCCTTCGGCGGCACTCTCTTTTTTGTCTCTCTCTTCTGAGACCCCCTCCTCTCTACATCTCAACGAATAGAAGGGAGGAGGAGGGGGGGGCGTACTCTTATGTTTTGCATGCCTTAGCGGTTAGACCATTGACCA